AACATTTCCATGAATTGTTTAAGTCCCTTGTATTGTTATTAACGAGGGGTGCCCAAAAAAAAAAAAAGGGAAAAACTCCACTTGGTGGTATGCATTTTTCCCACTAGGCAAGCATCCAGTAACTCGCTCTGAGTTAGTGCATCCAGTGGCATCGCCTGGGAAGGTTCTCTCTCACTGATCAGAGTGAATTTTTTTGTAAAAGCAGTTTTGCTGGAACCTTGGTTCTTTGTGATAGCCAATTTAAGAGAAATTTTGTTTCCTGCTCGGGAAAAATTACACAGAAACTGTTGAGATGTTGAGCACAGAAAAAAAAACAACCTCAAGTGTACACGTGGTTTTCTCATTTCAAAAAAGGCAAAATGTCAATTGATGACAAACCTCATTCTGGACATCTGTCAACTTCCTGAACAGATGAAAATGTCAACTCGTAGGACATTTGGAATTCATTCCACCAGGTCAGACTGTTAATCAAGCTTTCTATTTAGAGGTTCTGAAAAGATTGGGTAACCATGTGTGACAAAAAAGGCCTGATTTGTTGCAGGCTGGGGGCTGGTTTTGCCACCAGGACAAAGCACCTGCTCACACAATGATCTCAGTGTACCCTTTTTGGGCAAAACAACTCAGGATGGCTCTCTTGCCCCACACACCTTACTCACCTGACCTCGCTCCATCAACTTCTTTTTGTTTCCACAAATGAAGAGAAACATGAAAAGACAGAGATTTGACAACACAGAAGAGGTGAAGGAAAAAAAATGAGGGAGGTGCTGTCAGCCATCCAAACAGATGAGTTTGAAAAATGTTTCCAAGAATGGAATTGCAGATTTGGTAAATGTAGTAAGTGTAATGGAGAGTACTTTGACGGTGATAAGGTTGTTTGTAACAAAAAAAAACACAGCATTGCAAATAAAAATTCCATTTTTTTTAGTACCTCCGTAAAGCCATAGGACAACTCTAGCAGATTGATAATGCCCAGTGTGTTTAATAAAAAAAATTTAGGGGCAGTGTTGAAAGTAGCCACTTGGGTTTCTCTTTTTCCAGCAATGATAAATTTGCCAAGAAGCTTTTTATAGGTATTGTTTGGGTTACAAGCAGGCTTTATTTTTATTGAAGTCTCAATAGGAAAAGTGAGAGGGAGTACTGTATAGAAAATATGAATCACTAGTAAGAGTAGTAACGAGCCTAATATGCTTACCATGCTACAAAATATGGTCTAATTAATCATCGTTCATTAGCGCTGTAATTTCAGGTCAGTTCTTAAGATGGGAAAAGAGGAAGGTGAAGGGCAAAAGAGATTATATTTTGGGGTCTTTAATCACCCATACTCTTACACAAAGAAACTCAGCACAAGGCTTACAAAAAGCTACTCTTAATTAGTGATAGTTCTCAATTCATTTATTCAACAATTAACCATCGTGCACATATTATGTGCCACGTACCATTCTAGACCTTGAGATGGTGCAAAAGGGCACAGAACAAACAAGGTGTGTGCTGTGTGTGTTCCTGTGATTGCCGCATTCTAGCTGGGAGAGGTAAGTAGTAAATAAGCACACAAGTATGGAAATACCAAGCAACAATGATTGTTAAGCAGGGATTAAAGTAGAGCAGTGGGTGCAGAGCCTGGGTAAAAGTAGTCACCGGGGGTTCTGCAGGTTGTCCGTCGCTGGGAGCTGCTAGGAGAACGTTCTAAGCAGAAGGAACAGATAACATGATGTTCAACAAGGAAAGGTAAAGGGCAACCAAAAAGTTGAACTAACCAGAGACTGCCAACTCTTCCTTCGTGACGTTTATGATTAATGCAGCACATGTAAAGATTAGAAGAGGATATGTTATTATTTTGAACGCAGTGTGTAAGTGAATGGTGTGTGTGATACGAATGTAATGTGGGAGTAAAATATTCAGGAAATATTTAGACCTGGTACATGTGTTTCTGCCACCAAAGATAATACTGCAAAGGTGAGAAGGCAATGGAGCTGAGGCAGTGAGATAGTCAGTCCTGGTGTTTAAGGGACTGCAATATCCAGGGGAAAGTGGCAATTGAAAAACCTGCCGTGGAAAAGGAAGCTGATTTGATGCACTTACTGATGAAAGTCAAAGACTCCAGCCTTCAGTACGGGTTACACCTGAACATCAAGAGAACTACCATTCTTACAAGGAGGCCAACAAAAATGGAAGTTGTCAAGGATTTCACATTACTTAGAGGAACAATGAACACTCATGGAAGCAGCAATCAAGAAATTAAATGACATATTGCACTGGGCAAAAGACCTCTTTTAAATCTTTTTTTAAAAGATATCGCTTTGATGACTGGGTGCACCTGACCCAAGCCCAAGTCTCCATTGTCACTTGGTAAAGCATGAGAAAGCCAGATAGTGAAAGGAAGGTTGAGGAAGAACGAACACATTGTAATTACGGTGTTGGCAAAGGACACTGACTATGCCATGAACTGCCAGGAGAGCGAACAGATCACTCTTGGAGGGAGGTACTGCCAGAATGCTCTGTAGAAGCAAGGATAAGGAGACTCTTCTCACTTCTTGGGACACATATCAGGAGGGATCAATCAGTGGAAAGGACGTCAGGCTTGGTAAAGCAGAGGGTCAGCAAAAACAAAGACTCTCCGTGAGAAAGATCCACACAGCAGGTACATACCAGTTGTGAGGATGACGGGGTTCTGGGCAGTGTTTCATTCTGTTGGACGTAGGGCCACTGTGAGCCAACTCAGCTGCAACTAACAGCAGCATGGTGAGTCGGGCACTCCGGGACACACAACATCTTGTTTTCCCACATCTTGCAAAGTAGGTAGTGCTAAGTACATTCACTGCGGTGTAAATGGAAGCACAGTGAAGTCAGACATCTCAAAAATAGATTCAAACCTAGATCCACCTGTTTCTAAAAATGACCGCCTCACCCATTCACTTCTGAAATGGCCCTTCAGACCATCTCTTTCCAAAAGCTTTCTCCTCCTTTCTTCTGCACGGAGAAGGTTTTGAGCCAAAGCCAAATTCCTGCTCAGCCAACTTCTCGTTTTTCCTGCCTCTCAGTTAAGCAACTCTTTCCTACATAGTTAACTTTTCAGAACCGCTCTCTATGATGGGTCTCGGTGAGCTGGAGGCCTATTAATGATGCATGCACTTCCTCTGGAGCCTGGTTGCAGGAGGGAAAGAGCACGTGGTTTTTTTCAGTGCCAAACAAGTTGCTAGAGAGGGCAAAGTGCCTGGTAGGCTTAAAAATTATTCTCAAAATTACCTAAGTAATGACTGGAATTCTCTGTAAAGGATTCTAAACACCAAGATCTAGAACAAAACATGAACATTCATGACTTCTGCCCATTCTTTGATATCAGGAAAATTTCCTTACTTGAATGTAGCACAGTAACTTGAGCTGCAAATAAGGAAAGCCAATAATGATAGATATTCCTTAGTACTATGCATTCTGGTTTTCACCAGATGTCCCCTGATCCTGGTGATTCCACTGTCTTAAGTCTACCCTGAAATAACATTTATCCTTTTCAAAGCCCCTAACCATAAATCAGCTCTAATGGAAGCTCTTCTTCTTGCTTTTATTGCAAGGATATATGCTCCAACCTTCAGGTCTAAATTGTTTACCTGGCTTTTTCACAGCTGACTCAGTGGATTAGACCTTTTAATGCAACCTGCATGGCATGTGGTCGCCAAAGCTACATGAAGTCTTTATAATTTTTGTATGATTGATAGCATATTGCTCTTCACAGTGAGGGCAGTCATATCTATTTCCTGCTCGCTTCCTCTTGTAGATGTTAAGTTACTTAATCTGTTTACTTTCATGATTGGGACTTCAAAGGAATAAATGTAAAACAGAAAAGCAATCAGGCTCTAAAAGTCTACATCTTGACTCCCAGGCCTGTGTGGGTTCCTCAGCACTCAGTTATCTCCTGCTCCTTCTTTTCACAAAGTAGCCCAGCCCTCTTGTCCTCACAAACCGTAGTATTAAGGAAAAAGAAATCTCTCTTAAAGACCTCATAGCTCCAGGGTTTTCTGAGACTCTTTTGGACCTTCATTCAGCCCCTGATGATACCGCAGCAGTTACCATTAAGTACGTACAGGGGAACTACAGTAAGTTGGTGGGAAAATAGAATGAAAGGATCATGGGGTGGGTTGGTTTTTCGCATGCTCCATTAGGTAATTGGACTAAGTGTTGACACACCAACCCTGCGACTTCCTCTCCCCTGCTTCCCCTTCCACCTTTGGTAACCACCTTTGGTTGACTGTGGTGAAATCAACATGCTGAAATTAGGACTCTTCCATCCACTTCTGTCTTAACTCCCACCGAATCATTGGGTGGGACCATGCAAACCAGGTGTAGGGGACTCTAACTCTGAGATTGTCCAGTTTTGCCCTTTCCTCTGTCTGTAATATTGAAGCATCCCAAAAGCAGGAAGAGAGAATTCCTGGGACTGTCAAGGAAGAGGAACCACCAGCAGAGCACATCCTTTCAAGATCCCTGCCTGACCTGGCCGAGCTCGGAGGAGTGGCCGTGCAGAGACAGAACAGTGGGCAGGCTTCCCTGCCCACAGGACAGAGTAGAGGCCAGGAGATCATGAAAGCCAAGGGCCAGAGAAGCATGGCTGCTGGCTGAAGAAAGGTGCTCCTCTGGACTAGAGATTGTATCCTTAATATTTTATGATCCTGACTTGTGATAATCTCTTGATTTCCGTAATAAAACCTCATAATCCTAAGTATCCTCTGAGTTCTGTGTGGCCATTGGAATCCAGCAGAGAAGTCGAGTCTGTGGGAGGAATGGTTGGTGTCAGAATAAAGTAGAAGGAGGATGGAGGCTAGAGGCATGTCTGTGACTTCTGCCTTACGGCTCTTGGCCTTGGACTAGTGTAGAGATAGATTCTCCTCCTTACTGGAATGGGGCGGAGGGGGGTGTCAATGTGGCCCCCTCCTGTCGTTTCTTTTCACCGTCAAAGAATGTTCCTTGTAGTGTGAAAACCTTTGAATTCTCAATTGTTGTTTGTGCAGATACAGTTGTCTCCTCCAGCTGCTGCACCAGTTTAGACTACATCGTCACCTACCTCTTCAAGCACCTAGCCAAAGAGGGCAAGAAGCCACTCCGAAGCAGAGAGACCACGCAGGCCGGGCATAGACTCTTACATTTTATGCAGCAAAACCCAGATGTTCTGCAGCAGGTAACTGGTGGTGGGTCACCGGGTTAAAGAGCCTTGGCCTCCCAGACACGAACCTGGCCCATGACTAATAATTCATTCACAAGTAACACTGCTGCTGAAAGTAGAGGCGTGTGCTGCCTCTGGATCACGTCCAGAGCTCTAGGTGGTGCTTCACCTCCACAAAGCTAGCACTCAGAAAGATAGAATAGCTTTTTCAGAGAAACACAGGGTCAACCTGGAACTACCACCAGTCAACCTCTGATCTCCTCCTAATGCGTCTGGCACTGCCATCCTCTTTTGCTGTGTGAATACTCTGGTGTGTTCCTGGGCTCTGCCCTGTGCTAGAAACTCTTCATTCGTCGCGTCATAGTTGGTACGATCCCATTTTCAGAGTAAGTCAACGTTCTGATCTGTTAGATAGGGTTCTTATAAGCGCGTCTAACTAATAAGAACCCAAACTGTGATGTCTTTCTGTTGCAATGTTTTCTAAGTGACTGATGTGAGGCTGGCCCAGGACCGTGCAGTGTTTCCTTCTGATGTGCATAGGGTCGCTATGGGTTGGAACCGACTGATGGCACCTAACCACAACAACAATATGCTAAAGTTAATTAGGAAAAAATATTTCTAAAAACCATAGTAATAGCTTGCATTAAAAAATGTGAATATATGTGGGAAATATTTTTAAGATAATAGAGTTTTTCTGTGAAGATACCATCACTATATTATTTTAATTCCACTAGATTTGGAAGAATATGTCCTCACACTTTTAAGTTATTTTTTTTCTTTGCCAAATCATATCCACAAATTGATTAAACAGTGTCTCACTACATGATCATTCACCATCTTATATATCACCTGCAATCAGAAAAATGTCACGCTGTGTAGAGAAATAACAATAATAAAATGGGACGGCAATGTCATTTTTGACTCATTTGTGATCATGTTTCCCTTACTTGGTTCTTTTCTGTGGAGGTAGAGGCAATTTAGATGATGTGAAGCAAGGGTAAAAATAGGCTGTAACTATGACCCTGGAACTGTGTTATGACAAGTTGGCTGTACAGTCAAGGAAGAGAAAGGTAACTTGTGTTTATTGAGGACTTACAATGTACAATGTGCAAGAACCATGAAGACTAATAGACATGCCCTTTTTCCTTAACAAATATCTTTTCAGGTAAGCCAGAAAGACAAGTAACTGGCCAGCTGACTGATGATTTCATTATAATATAATCGTATATGGATAACAGAGCCCTGGTGGAGTTAGTCTGCTAACTGCAAGGTCAGCAGTTCAAAACCACCAGCTGCTCTGCGTGAGAAAGATGAGGCTTTCTACCACTGTAAAGATTGAGAGTCTCGGAAACCCTGAGGGGAAGTTGTCCTCTGCCCCGGAGGGTCACTGAGCCAGGGTGGACTTGAGGGCAGTGAGTTCATAGGGATGCACGTGTGAGTGACATTGGAGGAAGGGGACTATCACAGGATTTTCTCATTTTGGTCCCACAAGCGTCCTGAACTATAAATATAATCGTTCCCATTTTGTGGATGCGTAAATTGAGGTGTTGAGAGATTCAACTGGAAGAGAATGAAGTGGGATATGAACCAGTGGCTGTCTGAATCAAAGGCCCATGTCCTTGTCACTTACACTGTTGGTTCTCAAGGATATACCGTAGTTGCTGAGGAAATCAGCTGAGATTCACCCGGAAGACCTGCTCAAACAGGCATGCTATTAAGATTTGGGTTCACCCGTCCTGCCCTCTTCCTACCCTGCCCCCTGCAGTGGCCACCAGTCATAGCCCTCAAGTGTTGTGGCGTGGGGAAGAGTAAGGACCACTGGAGACAAGAACTACTCATGGCCAGGGTCAGACCCAGCCCCCACCCACCATGGCAAGCAGCAAGCTCACCACCCAGTCCCTCCTGCCAGCACTCTCAGCAATAATCACAGTAGTGCCCTGTCAACTTGGGCAGAAACTTTTAAGATGGTAGAAAATTTTAGCAAAAATCAATGAGACTGTGGTCCTGGACCAAATACCAGCAGACTGTGCGGAGCAAGCAGTGTGGTTGCGCAAGAGATGGTCAGGCTTGTCTTCACTCAGAGTTGCCCTGCCTTTGTTGGTTTAAGTCCTTAGTTCCTGTGTTAATATGACTTGGTAATCCTTCACTTTACAGCATGTGACTAAGTAGTGCTATATCCTTATTAACAGTGGAATACATTCTATTTATTTGGATTGTTTCAAATATGAATGACTGGTCTCTGGTAGTCAGCATGAATATGATTTGCATTAGCACTAGGTTAGATCATCTGGAGTGCCTCTGATGTCAACTGTTGGGTAGAGTAATACCTGACATCATCTCCTTAGGTCACTGACAACTTTGACCTCTATTCTTATGCACAGTTTCTATCGTCTCAAAAGCTCTTTTGAATTGATTTGAAATTTTGACTCTTCCCTTTATGAGGCAGTAAAATTGATAATTATTCAGATGGGAACTGTGCACTGAGTGAAAAATCAATTCCACCCGCTCTCTGCTGCGTATAAAATTACTTCTGAGTCGGCTGGACTGAACGGATGGCCGGAGTGAAAGCAGCAGGCAGGAGTAGTGGGAAGAATTAGCCGGACAGAGCTAATAGCCTGGAGGGATGGACTTGGAAAAGAGGGAGTGGGCCAGTTGGGGGTTATTATGAGCAGGGATGGGGCCCATTGATCATCTGTTTACACCAGCTTATCCAGACCTTATAAATCAGCCCTGAAGAGCAGCAGAACCCAAGATTCGTCCGCTTGCCAGAGGGACTCTGTATTAGATTATTCTCATTTTCACTCTCAGATGAAAAGTAAGCCATTGATTATTCATTGGTTGCCCATTAAGTGCTGTTTTTATCGAGGATTTGCCTATCACAGAAGGTAATGAACAAGGGTGCTGCCTCCTAGCTCGAGGTTTCGGTTTCCAAGGCATCTGTGTCGGTTAAGTAATGCCTAACCCTATTAAAAGGAAGAGGTTACAAATTGCTTAACAGCGCTGAAAAACTAGACCCTAATGACTAATTGTGCCCGGAGTTTAGAGAGGGTTTGTCAGCTCTTTAAACTAAACTGATGCAATGATACTGCAATTATTTACTAGTTTGAGCGGGTCCCAGCCCCCACCCCTCTCAACCTGGACCTATTTTGCCGGAGGCCTAATTGCATGAAGAGAGTGTCGTTTCCAAATTGCAGAAGTGATCTCCTCAAGTTTCCATAGTAAACCAGCCATGAACCTGTAGAAAGGGGTTTGGGGCTTGTGTGCAACAGCCTGGGAAAGACATTTAAGTGCCTCGCACTTGGACGTGGCTTTTCATCTTAGATGTTTACACAAAAACATTCTCCCAATCAGCCGTCGTCCATGTCTCACAAACAAATCCGGCTTTAAAAGCAGTAAAATCTGGTCCGTTTGAAGACCCATGGCACTGAGCTTCATCTATTTCAAGTTAGAGCTAGATTTCTCAGCAGCATTGCTTTGACTTGACTGTGCAGTAGCTCCCAGTGACACAGACAGGGAAGAGACTCCCCAAGCCTTGTCATGTCATTCGGAGGATAGGCTAGACTTGTAAGAGCAAACCAATAGTAACAGGCACCATAATTTCAGAGGTCACATTTCTGTGAAAAGTTTTCCGTCGTGGGTCATGGTAAGTGTTTGCATCTATAACCCAGAGACCAGCATCCCTTTATTTCTATTCCAGAGTGAAAGGTTTGCCCAACTGAGCTAAATTAAGGAGAATATGCCCTAGAACTGGAAGTGTGTTTGAGAGATACAGCAAACGCTTTTCTGAGATTCTAAGGACGCTAATGCAGAATGCTGCTCTAGCCCAGAATCTCAGTGGAAAGGGGTTTCTCTAAAAAGGAGTAATGCATGCCACAGAAGTAGAACAAGAAAGCCGGGTGTGTCCATAATATTGATTCTGTTATGCAGCAAACTTATTAATGAGGTACTTTTAGCAATTATGGTTTCCAAAAACGGCATACAATGAGCATAGGAATTGGAACATTGAGGTTTGAATTTACTCACCCTTCAGCTGTTTATCTACTTGGCTCAAGCCAGCTGCACTAAAAACTCAAATAATTATTATTCTCATTCTCTCTTTTTTTTGCTAACATGGCATTTAACTACAAATTGTGAAGAGCTGTCAGAAGCTATAAGAATCATACTTCAGAAGGGACATAAGCCGAGAGAACATTCGCCCTTTTCCTCAATCCGTCAGTCAATCAATGAGAATTGCTTTTGTATAGTGCTCTTCATGACATGCGTCCCAAAGTGAATTACAGCAAAAGGGAAATCATCTGCTCTTTTTTCATTCCTGTGTTTAGATTGAAACGAGATTGCTCAACATTTTGACATACTATACAAGACATCTTTCATACTGAAGAGTCCATTCCATAATACTAAGTAGGAGAAAGTGCAGTCGTGTATTTAACCGATGGTGAGACTTCAGCCAGGAGAACCTCAGCAAGCTGCTCACCATGCAGAACACTTAAGCAGATGAATCTATTCACATCTCTTATCCTCATAAAAAAATTAGCCAGATTTGCCAGTGCTAATAATAAAGACATTTCTCGTGATCCTTAAATAGAAACTCTGCCCTCCCTGTAACCCATTAGCTCAGTCCAGTTGATTTGCAACTTAATGATCAAAACTATGACAATAGATTGATATCAGAAACACAAGCTAAAAGAATATTCACAACTGCATCCAAGGAAGGCGTGGACTTAAAAGGGAGAAGCCAGGAATATGTCACTAGGTGCTTCAAAAGGAAAACCGGAGCGTGAATTTCATGACAAATCGGTTTTTTATTGCACATGCTGCCTCAGTCTTGGTCGTCTTCACAGCAAATGATGCATGTATCTCTCACACACATGCATACATAGCACACAAACACACCCACTTATATCAGACCCACTACCTTCAAGTCAATCCCAACTCTTTAAAAAAAGAAGAGACAGAGAGAAGTAACGCCTGAAACCTATTGCCACCAAGCCAGTTCCAGGTTCTAGTGATCCTGT